CTATAAGTATATAAGTATAGATAGTGTAAGTATATATATACATATATAAGTAAGTATATACATGTTCTTTGTTAGATCTATGTCAATGTAAATGATGTTTGTATGACGTACTTTGTACTTCTCAAATGTAAAAGCAATCTAAAAAAAATTTCACTCACCACTCGTCTATAAACAACTTTGATGGAGCAACGAATACATAGAAAATACAAATTCTGCTGTGACGGTGATTCAGCTGCAGCATTTGAATCATGTAGGAATTGAGAGCACACGAGCGCATCGTTTCGGCACTGATCAAATAACCTGAGAAAAATGATGCATGGCGCGAAAAAGGTAAGTGAAGAAAAACACACGGCCGAAAAAACACACCTCGACCTAGTCATTTCTTCTCTGACAACTTCATTGCGCTGACAGCAGGGTAGACAACCGATCCAGCCTGAAAAACGACTATCTAGAAAAAGGAGAGAAAAATCGTAACACAATAACGTGACATAGAATCGCGCAACATCCAAAAGCGGATCAAACACGGCGATGAATATGGCAAAGGAAACAACATTAGATCTAAAGCCTAACAGTACTATTCTCGAAACTATCACGTCGTGTATTTCGAAATGAGAAATGCAAATAAGGCACTTGCATCAATAACGCGCGCACAACGACATTCCAGATGACAAGACGACACTCTGCGTCTCTGCCACTCTGCCACTCTGCCACTCTGCCACTCTGCCACTCAGGCACTCGTCCAGCCTAGAAGGTTGGAAGGTTCAAAAAAAGGCAGTTTTTGAAGGTTTCATAAGTTTTAAAGTTGCTTTTCGGTTTCTAGAGCACGGTTTAGCCCAGAAAACGTCAAAACCTTGGCAGCGAGATTTTGGCCGGACGCTGCCTTTAAGCGCAGTTTATTGTTCTAATCGAACTCCGATGGTTCTCGTAAATATCTAGTCAGCCGTAATCTATAAAAAGGTAAGTTGAGAAAACGTTGTCGTGAATAATATGGAAATGTACACAAAAACCTCGTAACACAAAGGAGGCTATAAAAACTTAATTTCTCTGTTTTGCTGGTATATTTTAAAACATGAATCATATACGCACTTCATTTACATCAATTCCGATATAGTCATGATTTTAACATCTGGGCCGAAGCCCCGGATAGCATTTGCGTTTTTGGTGAAGTTTGTTGTGTCGTTGAAAGTGAAGTTCACCAGAGTACATGGCTCTATGTATGAAGGATGGTTGTTTTTAACGAGCTCATACTGCAGAAGGTTCAATGGGCATAGTGAACTGTTTCGTACGCAAGTTTGATTCACGGTAAACGTCATCTTATCCTGCAAGACCCATCTGGAGAGTACTCTAGTATACTACTCCTCAAATCTCGCTCTTCCAGATTATCATTTGCTCTCTCGCAAACCTTACAATGATGCTTGACTTCGATGAGTATTAGGGCGCTTTCAAGATTTTCAAGACTTAAGACTTTTTCGAGACCAGGTGCGCTGTCGTTTGAGAAAATGGGATATAAAAAATGGGTCTAAAATGGGTCTCAGCAAAACCTTGCAACATTATATTCATTCTGATCGTCATGACACGACTAGAAGGATTCACACAACGTCGCTAGCATTGAATCACTTCTTAACGAATTGAACCAGCACTTTTGTTCGCGATTTTCTGCGCTAGAGTTAAGCGCAGTTTTTTTTGATGGCTCTCGTGAGTATTTAAAATTAAATCGTAGTCCAAAAAGAGGTCAGCTAAAAAAACGTTGACTTGAATATTATGAAAATGTGAACAAAAATCTCGTAGTACAAAGAAGGCTAAAAGCTCAATTTCTCTGTTTTGCTGGGATATTTTTGAGATTACTATGTGTACTTCACTTACATCAACTCCAATATATTTATGATTTCAACATCTGGAGCGCTAAGCAACGGATGGCATCTGCTTTATGGTGAAAACTGTGTTCTTTCGTGTCGTTCGAAGTGAACGTCACCAGAGTTCATGAGTCTAGGTATCGAAGGATGGTTGTTTGGAACAAGCTCATACTGCAGAAGGTCCAATGAGCGAAGAGAATAGTTTCGCAAGGCAGGTTTGATTCCAGACGGTAAACATCATCTTATTCTGCAAGACCCATCAGGAAGGTACTCTAGTATGCTACTCCTCAAAGCTCGTTATGCTCTTTCGCAAATCTTACAATGACGCTTGATTTTGGGGATTATCAGGGCGCTTTTGAGATTTTTTGTGGCCAGGCGCGCTGTCCTTTGAGAAGTTAGGATGAAAAATTTGACAAAAGCGGCAAAACGTCATTCGCGCCATAGTTATTGGCTGATTTTTGCTAGGAGCTGCTGTTTTTGTTGATCTACAGGGTCTTACGAGCTTAACGACCTGTTGCATCTGAAATACACACTTTCGAAAAAAGCATTTTCTATATGTTAGAGTTCAGTTTTCATTTGATTGTCAACGGCTTCACTTTTCAGTAATTACAATAATTTAGTGTTGACAATGATATGATTTGGATTTTACTTCTTTACCGATTCGTTGACATTATTTCTGATAAAATAGAAATAAATAAGGGTAAGTGTGCTCAAATTACGGGAAACGATTAGACGAGCAACTGACCTTGAACTTTGATAATTTTTAGCAAGTGCTGTGCATGGAAAGGCTATGAAATTTCGATAACGCCTTAATTGGTTCGTGCCAAAGCCAAAGCCGGAGCCAATTACCCCGCGCCCCGGGTTTAGGGTAGCGAGATAGCGCGCAAGGCGCGGAGACGCAGATGAGTAGAAGAGAAAGGTCAGAGCCGACGGGGCATTCAACTCTGGTTGTAGATTCAGCTGGAACAAAACCTTGCAACATTACATTCATTCTGGTCGTCATGACACGACTAGAAGGATTCACACAACGTCGCTAGCCTTGAATCACTTCTTAGCGAAATAAACCAGCACTTTTGTTTGCGATTTTCTGCGATAGATTTAAGCACAGTTTTTTGATGGCTCTCGTGAGTATTTAGAATTCAATCGTAGTCTAAAAAGAGGTCAGCTGAAAAAACGGTGTCCTGAATGCTATGAAAATGTGAACAAAAATCTCGTAGCACAAAGAAGGCTAAAGCGATATTTTTGAGATCACTATACGTACTCCATTTACATCAGTTCCGATATATTTATGATTTTAACATCTGGGGCTAAGCCGCGGATGGCATCTGCTTTTTAGTGAAGATTGTGTTCTTTCGTGTCGTTTGAAGTGGAGGCCACCAGAGTGCATGACTCTATGTATCGAAGGTATGCTTGTTTCAAACGAGCTCATACTGCAGAAGGTCCAATGGGCATAGTGAATTTTTCGCATGACAAGTTTAATTCCAGACGGTAAACGTCATCTTATCCTGCAAGACCCATCTGGAAGGTACTCTAGTGTGCTACTCCTCAAAGCTCGTTGTGCCCTTTCGCAAATCTTACTATGATGCTTGATTTTGAGGAGTATCAGGGCGCTTTTGAGACTTTTTGTGGCCAGGCGCGCTGTCGTTTGAGGAATTGGGATGAAAAATTTGACAAAAGCGGCAAAACGTCGTTCGCTATACTGCCGTTATTGGCTGATTTATGCTAGAAACTGTTGTTTTTGTCAGCCGAATCTTACGAGCTTAACGACCTGTTACATCTAAAATACACACCTTTGAAAAAAAATTTCTCTAAACGTTTAGAGTTCAGTTTTCATTTAATTGTCAACGGCTTCACTTTTCAATTATTACAGTATTAGCGTTGACAATGATGTGATTTGGACTTTACTTCTTTAACTTTCTGCACTGTATTGGTGTTTTTTCTCGGATAAAGAAATTAACCATCGAATGGGTATCTTGATTCCGTTCGCAAAGAGTTTGTTTTGGTGGAGATTTTCACGGTTGTTTGGTCATTTTCGACTATGTAAGCTGCCGCTCAAATCATGATATATGAGCACTCGTACAAAAAGTGTCTGTGACCAATGGTTTGTACATTTCTCCACTTGCTTACCCCGGCGCTATTGAATTGGTGTGTTCGTTCAGCGCCACCCATCGTAAGCGATAGCGAATCATTTCTGGTCAAGAAAATGTTTGGATCAAAATGGTGCCGCTCAGTGGCGAAGTACAACCGTAGCCTCAAAGTTTTCCTCTGTTATTTGAAGATTTTAGCTCCTGCTGCAATGCATAGAACCATGTGAGTAAAAAAACTTTACGTCTTAAAGGCAAATTGGCTCATAATGGAAAGGAAGGATAGAAAGCTATAAAAACAAATGGCATGCAAAGTTATTATGTCGGGAAAGCAGAGAGGACGAATGCTAATATTATAAAATCGTGTAAATTATGCAAGAACTCGTTAACGGTGTTTTTATGTTTGACGCTTCGCTCAATACTCACCTATGCAGTGCTAAGGCTTCAGAAGAATTATGCATTCTCCGAATATGATAATATAGCTTCTCCGGGTGTCATCATAACGAACAGATACAAAAGCTTGCTTGCCACGCACATGCAACTAAATGAAGGCAGTTCACACGATTATAAATCGTGGGAAAGCAGCATTCAGCTAGTTGTTCCAATAACTGCCATTTTGCATTCATTTGAATAGGAATTCATAATTGTTTTTTTACCAATCTCGACGACGAAGAGCTTATAAGACTTTTTCAAATGAAGCTAGTGTAAACCGCTCGGCATCTTGTATCTTCTACACTCCGCTGTCACTATTTGTTTTTCATCTTTACTAAAATTAGTCTGATGATTGACCTATAAAAGCGTTCATCACACATTCTTGGTAATCTACTCAGTACTGAAGCCTTATGTACTTTAGGCATAGATTTACAAAAAACTTTGTATTGTCAATCTAGTTGTCAAGCATGCTTTCAAACCATAAGAGTATCATGTACCCATGGGAGTGCTTGTTTTTCCTTGAATTTTTCATCCGCACTTTGACTGGGGAAAAACAAATTTGTCGCAGATTGGTGCACTTTAGCACGTATTTACATAAAAAGAGATTCCGCTTTCCAGGCCGTCAACTACAATGCCAATATCCATACTAAATCCTGCTCAAGTTATCATATTTCAAGCATGCTGTACAATCCTGCCATGTGAGTGGTCGCAAAGTCTGTAATCAGTGTATTATATCTTTGTATACAATTAGCGATAATAACCATCACAGCAGTGGCAAAGCTAAACAAACATTTGTGTCGCTGTCTTTCCTGAAGTTGCTGCCATGTGAAAGACTTACATTTACTCACCCTTGCTAGTTGGACTGTAGTTCTCAATTTTTAGATTTCTGTTTGAAATTTTTATCAACGGCATAACGAAGTATTGATTTTTCAATAATTACGCATTCATGGAAAACGAAAGTGACATTTAGTCTCTCATAAAAAACATTCACATCTATAGAAGAAAATTTAAGGCCACATCTTCAAAACGCAAAACTATTAAAAGTAGTCATTGCCAGTGTTCAAAAGCTTGCAGTTTAGAACTATATCATGTACTAGAAGCAGCGAAGAACTGAGGGAAGGGGTTTGGAAAAGAAGCTTTGAGAATGGGTGGCGAAAAAAGCCAAAAGTTGCTCAGGCTGGGTTCGTACTACCCGTACATATGTTTCGGAACAGTTCCAGCACACGCACAGTTCGAGCGCTGTGCTGGAACTGTTTCGGAATTCAAGGATCAGTATTTATTTATTTATTCATTACATATACCGGTGCATAATCTGGCACAGATTGGTGTATCACTCATTGCTGGAATGTGCAGGTCGTTCTTTTTCGTCGGAGGGTGAGGAAGTCTCAACCGAAGTCCTGGTCCCTTACCCAAATGCAACGTGTGGACGCACGTACCAGGGCTTGGCTGACCAGCTGTAACCGACGAATCCGTTTGGGACCCTGGGCGAATGGGAAGGGGAACCTCAAGGAAGAGAGTTCGCTGGGTCTTCGGATTCCTCGAACGGCTGTTGCAAGCAAAGTCATTGTCAACAACATTCAAGGCAATGTCAAATGATAAAGCGAACGCAAAAAAGTAGGACACCAATCTTAGTTTTGCTTTCATAAAGAGAATCTCTTTTGAGATGAACTTTACAATTTCCAATATGAGCATATAGCGCTAGCAAAATCAATCAGGCAATTTCGCATGAAAGACCACCTTAGCCGATGGCGCCTGGCTTAGACCACCCATCGTTTGATCGCATCCTCGAGTAGAAGCAAAGGAGACCACAAATTGCTTTACAGAACTCTGCAAGTAGTTGTGATGTAGCAGATGTCTTGCTTTGGGGTAGGGCCCCAAAAAATTTTCGAAGTGTGCGGCTGACGCAACGCACCTCTATCAAAGAATTTTTTGCCGCTTCTCTTTCTCTTCCCAAGGCTTCTTTTTGAAGAAGTCTTGGGAACGCCACTGCATAGGAGACACATAGCAAAAAAGCATAGCAAGCACATAGCAAGCACATAGCGATAGCAAAAAAAATGAGCAGTCTTGAACAATGCATGCTGTTTCTTATTTTCGTGTCTCGCTACCTTTTGTGCAATTCATACAAGCGGGTAGCATGATAGACAAAAGCCTTGTAGATATTGATCATGTTAAAATCCGTGTAGGGCAATTTGGAGACCACAACGGCTGTGTACACTGCTCATTTAGGACGACAGAAGGTTCTGAGCCACCTTCAAAAAACGGTGTACGCCATAAATCTCTCACATTTTCTTCAAATAGTTGAAAATGATTGATTGATAAATTTGTGATGATTCCTGCCAAATTTAGCCCGCAAGAGACAGGCTCGCGGGAGTCTAGCCTACGGCGATTTGGGTGATTTCGTGCACTCAACTTTATCTGACTTGGAGAAACGTCCAACAAGAGAGTAAACTGAGAAAGTTTTGTTGGCGTCTAATTTTTGATGACCATAACATGTTCAGTAGTAGAAGCTGGACAGATGAAAGTTAGTGAATCTGTGAAAGCAGCAATTCATGACCGCGGGTTATCTAGAAATACATACTTCAAAGAAGAAAACAAGCTTGTTTTCAACTGCCTTATATCTATTTAGTTATGACAACACTTCCACCACCAACAACACTTCCACAGTGCCAGTGCCCCTTAGATTTGTACAGCGACAGTCTCTGCCCTACTATTGGACCTTGCAACAGAGATCCCATGGTAAGCTTTTGTTTCAGCTTCACGTGAATACGAATTCAAACTTTACAAAATTCCGGATGTTTAATTAATGCAAATATTTCGCAAAGCGTCTCAAGAATGTTGAGTAATATTCGCAGTTTCAAAAGCTTTCATGTGAAGTGATTCACCCGTTTCAAAACTACTGCAAAATCAATCTCTGGTTCTTTCGTAAACTTAGAATGGCACTATCAAAGAAATGCTTATGAATATCATGAATTGAGAGAAATGAAACTATATTTCGCTAAGTGATCCTATGTATCCCAGTGTATTTGTTAAACGCTTTGAGACGCGGTAACCGACCTCCGAATGCGATTTTTCAAAGAAGCAAAATGTATCATGTCTAAACTGCTCTCTGAAAGTTAAATACCAAATCACAACTTTACGCGAAAAAATGTCATGCGGCATGTTACACCAGTCAAAAGTTTTAATTTTAGCTATCTCTTTAGTACATTTGTAACCATGTCCATTTTTTCTTTTTAGGGAAATCAACAGTAAGCAATAACTTTACAAAATTTTCCGTCTAGGCGGAAATATCGAATGCATTGTCTACAATTTTGGCACTTTACACGGATTTGTTCTGAAATCTAAGGCACGCGCCATACTTGATCCGCTTAATCCACTTGATCCACTTAATCCGGTTCATCATTGGTCTATTCAATAAAATGGCCAATAGTGAAGTGAATAAAGTGGATCAAGCGTACAACCGCTTTGCTATTGCTCAGTTTACTGAATCGACCAATGAAGAAGCAGATCAAGCGGACCAAGTGGATCAAGCGGATCATGTATGGCGCGCGTGCCTAGCCAGAGCGGTTATCTAATGCCCTGACTGCAATGATTACACGACATGCAGGGTTTTGATATATGCATCGTGTAAGGTTTCTGCTGGCTGTATCTTTTATGTTGTTTAGTAGCTGTTTCAAGGGGTGGAGGCCTAGCTAGGAAAACGCGTTTCCTTTGTGCAAAGCTATTTCAACCTAATTCTGCAACGAGGTCAATGAGGTCTTTTGACAGGGAATGGACCGTACCGATAAGTGGTTACGTTGCAGAAAATGATTTGCTCTTGTTCCTTCATTCTTAGCCTCAATGCCATACTTGCCATGCCTTACCCAGTCTTCTCAAGAATACATTTCTTCACTCTTGCAGCATTAACCTTTTCTTATCACATTTCAACCACAATTGGTTATGTAGATGGTACAGCTGCGATATCCGTCATCGCTAGGTTAACATCGAAAAACCACGGCAAACTCAACCCGACGTCAACACTTTTGACGTCGAAAAACCACGATAGACTCAACTTTCCATTTCTTTTTCATGCAGCAATTTTTATACCTGTTGCCGTTATTGATTCTAGAATTCGGATGGATAACGATAATTATTTGCTTGTTCCGAAAGTCCTGTCGTTTAATTCTTAGAAATTTGTAACTTTTGTTTATGCTCACGGGGTTGTTTCTACGTAATTTTGTTGTAAAGCAGAATCTTTTTCTGCAAGCGCTTCTCAACGAGCTTTTATAAATCGATTGCAGAGATAAAAATGTAAAAACAAGACGACGCAGGCTTCGATTTCTATTTCGCTTCCCAAGTTTATGCCATTCGCAGGTTTTTGTGGTCGTAATGAGTCATAAAGTTCAAATTCCAAAACCGTCAAAAACCCCGATTTCTGGGACCTGTTTCGAGAGCGCGGATGAGTTGATTATTGATTTCTCTCGGTTTGCCAAAGGCGAGGAGCTGCCAAGCATGGGCGCAGTTGCATTTCAGAGCTTTTGCTTGCATGAGCACTCGTCCACATGGAGAGGTTTGTGAAGCCAGAAACGGTTTGTGATACGTATCACAGGCAAGTATCTTCTTTAAGGGTTGCGTCAGACTGCGCCGCGTACGTCGACATAGTGAAAATACCGAGCGTGCGCTGCGTACGCTGTGTATGACGCGTATGCAGTCTGGCTCAATCCTAAGAGATCAAACAAAAAAATTGGACCAAAGTGTTGGATACCCCTGCCATCTCTACGACTATATGCTAGTCTGGTTAAGGTGGATTTTGGATGGACGCTGTTTTGGGTTAGGTCGCCAAAATCACACTTGCAAGGAGTAGCTCACATAACTTATGTACTGGCAAGATTTTTTTTACCAAAACCAACGGATTCTGGCAGGCTTATGCCAGCCACAATGCCAGCATCATCAAACAACAATAAGAGTTTGGAATTTGAAACTTTCAGGATGGCACTGTGATTCAACAAATTCTATATAGTAAATAAGAGTTTAAGAATAAAATAATAATTTTCGAATTTTCGGAAAAGCGCGTAAAAATCATGACTTATGATGATTTTATTCCCGAAAACTCTATGAAACGGAAACAAAAAACACCCACTACAAAGAAGAGAAAAGCTGCATTGATTAGCATCCGAACTGCTCTCCCTTATTGATCTAAGAGGTTTTAGTCGAACGTATAGAAATTAGTGGCATCAATTGGAAGTCTACTCAAAAAATATGACGAATTATGGGAAGAAGGGAAAATTTGCTTTGCATCCAGTAGAGTTCTATGCAGATGTTACTTGGACTCCTTTGGAGGGTTGATATCGGATTCTAGAACTGTCAAAGTTGATTATCGCTGCAGATGGTAAATTTTCCGAGGGTCCCTCAACTGTGCTGCAACGATTTTATAGTCACCAGAAATAGAATGAAATTTCAAATGCTATCAAGATTTCCAAATCTTTGTTCCACTAAATGTGTTCCATTTGAAAAAAGCTAAATTACTTTTAGGACGACCTAATAAAAAGAGCATACACATTTAAAACATTTCGAATGGCAAAAGTACTTCCCTTTTCCCCCTTACTAAATTTCTGAACTCTAGCTCAAAGGTGGCAAGAAAACATTAGATTTTTAGAATTTTTCGCTGTCAAATCATATGATCACTTCACAAAGACTCTCAGCGCCTGATAAGCTAACATTGACGATAATGAAATGGGTGGCACCCTTTGATGCAGCGGGTTGTCGGCGTGGGGGAAAGGGCTTTGAGGCCTAGTCAAGGCTAATGAGAGCACGCTCGCGAAGATATCGTAGAGTGCGTAGCGGATGCGAGCGGTGGTCTTCCAGCCGCCAATCCAGTTGAATGGGTACCCGTCTAGTCGTGGCTATGTGTGAATAGTTTGATTTGAATCGGTTTAGCAGCAGAGCATTTAATTTGGAACATATGTAGCATTCCATTCCATTCCATTCAGCTGGTAACTTAGATTTACAGTATGGAGCGAAACTCCTACCTGTCTTCGGTACTCAAATTTTGGAAAATTTTGTAGACTTATGTAGCAGATGAATTCAGCAGGTTTGATCAGCCTAATATGAAAGCTTTTCGCTCATACGTCTCCTTCCGAAGGAAAATGCGACTCTTAGTATCTCAATAAAATTAACAAGAACTTCTAAAAATTTGAAAGTTTCGCTTTCTTCAAACCTGGGCATAATTTGTATGATAGAAATACTTCTGCGCCAAACAGATTTGTTAGGTGTTCTTTATTTCCAATCACGGCCTTACGTTTCGACGCCTTTCGTCTTCTTTAGAGGCCTGGAAATGGCTCAAAGCGTCACCCGAGAAACGAAGCCATCGAGTACCATTTCCATTTTTAGCTCTCAACCTTCGCTCAACATTCCTACCGTAAAAATTGCTATGCCAGAAGATGAACATAACCTTTATGAGTCCATTCTATCCGCCAAGACCATCACTTCCGGTGCAAAATTCCAAATATCGTTGTTTACAGAGTATGCTCATCTTCTGGCGTAGCAATTTTCACGGTAGGAATGTTGAACGAAGGTTGAAGTTAATGACTTCGTTTCTCGAGTGACGCTTTGAGCTATTTTCAGGCCTCTGAGGAAGACGAGAGGCGTAGAAGCTAGGCCGTGATTGGAAATAAAAAACACCTAACAAACCTGTTTGGGGCAGAAGTGTTTCTACTATAGAATCAACAAAAACGTTTTCGCAATCAACCAGCTCTCAGTTGACCACTTGCATCGTAGTTAAGCAGAAACAGATAGACAAAATCCCTGAATGAGCTTAGTTTGATAAAACACGCAGTTCTAATAAGATGAATGGCACTACAATCATAAATTCAAATTAAATCAGAGTTTTTACAGCGCCATGTGTCTAAGCGATAGCTAGGATTCGTAGCAACGTTAAAGCAGCAAACAATTCTCAGAAATCGCAGTATACACAAGTACAGCGTGCGTCAAGAGTCTGGAAGCCAACTTAACCATATTGTATGTAGATTACGGAGCTACTCATGATTTTGATTCCTGTTTTATGCCACATAATGCAACGATCATCCTCTTCAAACCACATTTTACCTAGCTGAAAGTGTTGCCATGCGCTTTCATAAGAATTGGAATTATTAAACAAGTGCCCATGTGGAGCGAGAAAATCAAAATTTTTAGTAGTAACATTTTATTTTGTAGCTAGAGATATGAGATACATTGAATAATCTACATCCTTTTGATGCACACGTCGTAGAGGGGGCTTTGCGCTATCACTTCGTAGTATTTCCGCTTGCCAAAAACTGTTCTTCCAAAAACACAAATTAAGGTTTGCGAATGTTACCTGCGTGCCTAATGGTCGTCTGTCTCCAAACAAACTTAAAAGCTATAGAATCGCAGCAAGCACTGAGTCCTGGGCTAAATTTCTTTTTATAAGTCTTATACATAAGCATCCAGTTGAATGGCGTCAATAAAGCAACTCTAATACTTCTTACTTTGTGATTTTCCGCTTTCCTTCGCGCAATGGCATCCAAATTTCCAGTATGCGAGTGCACTTGCCTTTACTTAGAATTCAGAAATTTCTATTTCTGAATACTGCGAAAAATTTTCTTGGAACTATGTTGTAGACAAAAGTTTGCTCTATCCTGCTGCATATTTGCCAAGTGAAAGAAGCAGTTATCGTGAAGGCGTTGGACGAATCTTATTAGGATTACATGCATGCCACGACAGGTGGACTCGCTGCTTTAAAGGGCTCCTTCAAAAATAAAGGAGGCAATCCCAATGTTTGAGAACTGCGCTATATTTGTAAAGTGTTATACTGTATTTGTAAACAAATTCTGTATTTGTAAACAAATTACATGTGCACCAAACTTTTTGTTTTTTAAGTGCCTTCCTTCTAATTTTATCTAAAAAAGCACTAGGCTCCCAGAGTTTTGACGCATCCTGTATGAAATAAAAGTCGAAATAAACATGAAATAAACATATGATTTATTCCGATGAATTTGAAAAGAAGATAGCGAGAATATTATTTGCAGTGCACAAGCGTCCCAAATTGTATGCTTGACCGGCGTCAAACAGCGATCAAATAGGTAAAAGTCATAAAAATTGCAGCTTCACATGCACGACGCAATCTGAAAACAAGATAATGAGAAAATCAAGAAAAAATCACCAGAAGCGGCGACCGAAAATTACCAGCTAATTGCAATTATCAATCTGCGCGACGGCTGAAGCCTCGGACTTTTTGTCCGCGGCCGCCTAGGCCACGCCCGCTTTATGCAGGGGACTCGAAATTATCAAAGATCAAGCTGCACATCATATTGGGACATCCTGTATAATTTATACCTTTGAGAAATTGTTAACTTAGAAGGTTCAAAAGACTGTGCTTGATGAGGGAGCTGTTTGTTGAATTTGTAAACAAGAGTACAGAGTAATTTTTTTGCGAAACTTCGTTTACAGCTTACAGAGTTTTTTCATAGGCAACGAAGAGAAATTATCGTTGCCGCGAAAAGGTCGTTTTCACAACCACTGCATCTTATATTACCTTCCATTTTTGCCTTTTTGCCTTTTTCAATGAAGTTTCAAAATGCGAACCTAGGAGGAGATAGAGCACGTAGACAACGATATAACGTTTCACTTCGATCAAATAACATCAAATCACAATATTATTGAGGTGGTTGTATACGCCTCAACTTTACTATGTATCTACGTTAAACCTAAACTACCTGTTGCCAATCATGATGAATTACTCTATTTTTAAGGCAATTACATATGGTTCTCCGTCATTGTGTCCAGTCACCTTAAACTGCGAACAAACGGACTACGTACGGTTTCAATTTGCTGATGGCGCTTACATAAATAACAGTGAGTTTACACATGACGTGGAGACCGATCTTGTAGCTATGATGTAAGACCATTTAGGATATCGTGAAATCTTATTTCAGCCAGGCGCATGGTTGGGGCTTAGATATGCAAACAGTTGAGCTAAATTATTTCGCGAATTATTTGGTGTTGGCACTTAGAAGCCCTTTCACTTAGGGTAATCAGATTGAGGACCGCATGCAATGACATCCTCAATGAGGATGAAAAAAGCTTCATTTTCTAAAGCTCTGAACATCCGGATTTATCGCTGTTTATTTACTTTGCAAGTGTCATATCGAAAAGGGGCGAGAGCTTGCACAAGCCGTACTTTTTTTGTATGATTCCATTCCCTCATGATCCTCGCGGCAGATCTTTTTTCTCTTTAAAGACATCTTTCTTCTTTCGAAGCCAGTGCTTTCTAAAATTCTACTGATTAACCAACTCAACAATGCTAACGAGAAAATGGCCAGAACTTAGCTCAACCATTCCAAACAATCTGTATATCAAATCGGACTCTTTTTTGAACGCTGATTTCAAATATAATTTTATCTCCCAAAAAACTATCTGGGAGAAGTTATAAGCATTCAACGATGGGAAATTTTTCAAGTTTTCAGTTTCGGGGCAGCCGGATTTACAGTGGCTATGGCTATTTTAATCATAAGGAAGAAGCACTTTACCACAAAACTTAATAAGTGTTTTTTGGAAACCTAGTTCCTGGAAGACGCGCCACGGAACATTTGACAAATCACTCATTTACACGCTCGTAACTCCTCCCAGGTAATCGCTTAGCAGATAATAAACCTACATTTAATCAGCGGACCATGACATACAGCTGTTTGGTACGGCGGGGTTAAGTTTTGACCATTCCCTGATAAGCATGTTTTTGCTGAGATCGAGTGATATATCGAAGTCATGAAACTTTCGATGAGGGTTTTCAAAAGTCTCATTATCCTAATAACCCATTTCTTCTTAACAGAATTATGCTTAGCATGCTGGGCTAGATAACAGTACAGCTTTGGTATGTTTTCATTATTTTTGAAGGAAGAAAAATAACTTTCAAAAAGAAATAAAAGCGTTTGACGGTCTCTAAAAAAGATGGTCGGGCGCTGGGGACCATCAATGGACTATACAAAAAGCTGGAAAATGAAATTTATGCGAATTCTTGTTCCTTTTCAATATGTTTATAGCAAGGGGTAGTAGAACTAGCGGATGGATAGAAATCAGGTACCCAGTGCTTCAGAACATGAAACTTTTTTAAGATGCGTTTTACTTTTCAGCAAAATGTTAATACCCAAGACTTAAAGAAAAAAGGATAACTGAGCATAGACATCCGGGTTAAGGTGTATATCATTACCCGTAAACGGTAATGTATACCATTACAGAATACCATTACATTACCGTCTAAAAACGCTAGTTCTAAATCTTGCTTCCGTTTCTGCTAACTTCTTCTATAAAAAAATTATGGGGAAACCTCGCACCAATTTGGCGTTTATGGGATAAGTTTTAAGGCCAATAATCACCATTGCGCTGTGATTTGGAGGTAAGTACCATTCTCTTGGGAATATGCGAATGTAAGTTCTAATTTCTTCGCGTTTTAGGTTTTGCATTGCCTTTATCAACGTTCTTCTTATGAGTTTAGCATTTTCAAGACATAAGCGCGTCTTTGAGTAGAGGCTTCAGCCGCGCTGATACCCGCCGTTATCCGTCCAAAATCACCTAAACCTGCTAGAAGCCGAAACCTGCCAAAAGAGAAAAGAGTTTGTCCCAGGAACTGAGTTCTTGAAAAACGCATGAAATACCGTTTGTGAAACGTATATATCAGTCACAAGTAACTCGACGGATCCTTGGTTTCGCTCATTTGGCAAGTTCCGGTGAGTACAGGCGCAGTCTGAAACCAACCGTACTCATCAAAAATAAACAAAGAATTCATTTTTCTATTAGAGATTGAGAAATGATTGCATTTCGAAATGGAATTGACGAAAAATCAGTTAAAGCATAGAAGTTGTTCGCGATGATAGATTTTAGCGCAAAGTAATTTTCCATAGTTTTGTGGAGCAAAGACGTGCTTTATACCAAGGAAGCCGAACTTATAAGAAAAGCAATGCAGCTTGAAGCAATGCAAGGCTGAAAACGGCAGTTCCGAACCGATTGTACTTTTTTGGATTGCAAATCTTTGCGCGAAAATCTCCCATAAACTCTTCCAAAGTAACGAATAGCGGAAACGAAATCTATTTTGATTAGCGTTAGACAAGTACAACGGTTTAATATTTTCTGAAAAGGCCACGGCTACCAAGTCTTTCTTTGTCCTTATGCAAAAGACATTCTGGGTGCCAATATCAAACCGATGAAGGAAAACTTTTTTCAACGCAGATAGTAATCTGAAAACAGCATCACAGCATTTCCATCACAAAGGTGATTTAGGTAATTTGCTGAAGTATGTGAAATTCTGGTCGAAACAGAGTTGAAGTTGAAGGTGAAGGTTTTGGTCCAGGAGTGTAAAGCTTGATATTTGGAAGTTGCTTGACTTTTAGAATGATTATCTGTATTGAACTTACTTTTAACTTTTAATTTCACATGTGGGGGACTCGTTTTTTGCATTTTCATCTAGCCACCTCGTGCCGAGCCCTGCCTCTAACCGATGCTGTTGAACTTTTATATCAACCTAGTTTTGCTAATTTAGCGTAATCCCCAAAAAAAACACTAGAATGTCACTCTATCGTAAGCCAAAATGACCAATTGATGTTTTAGAAAATACAATCTGTCTGCATTTGAATCTATAGGAAATTTTGAGAAAAAACAGGGTAGAGAAGCAATTGATTACCGAATTTGTACAGGCTTACTTGATTCGGCTCATATTTTCTGTTCAATAATTTATACTATTTTTTTGTCAAGAAGTAATAGCCTCCATATTCAGAATTTTCGCCGGCAATGTTATATCCAAGAAATTCCTTCACTCCTATCATACAGAGACTTGAGCTGCTCACACAACTGGCTATCCAGCGTAATGGGAGGGTGGGGGGTAAAAGCATTTAGACACAACAAACAAAAGCGAAACTCAAGGAAGTATGCATCGTATAAATTAGGTTACTGTTATTTTGGAAGCTGCTCTTTCGAGCTTCTACAAAAGTTTGTTTATCTCGAGATTTTGTGCTGACGAAGATTGATGCGTTTTCAGTAAAGGTACGTAACTTTCGTCAGCTAGCAGATATCCAGTGCGTCAATGGTCAATGGCGTTATTATGGCCACCAGGTAGCATATGACAAAGTGTTGCGTCACGTCGTCTGTTATTCCGTCGCAATTCCCGTATAAGGATAAATGCATATGGCACGTCGAAGGATTTATGAACGAGCGATCATATCAAAAATGATTGTTTACTCCGATTTTTGGCTCGCAATCCTTTTTTAGACTTGTAGTATATGCTCGTTGAAAATATAAAAGAAAGTCAGCATGTTCTATACAAATCCGCATAGTCATCATTTATAGACATGGTCCGATTTCATCAAACGAGCTATCCATGCTTACCTTCTACTCAAATTATCGTTGCTAGCCGAACACTGCTCGCTATTTATTATCAGTTAGGAAGCCGCAAATAGCTCCGTTGCTTCGAAAACAGAGTTTGGGCAAATTTATGATTTGACTTCTTACTCAACCACAGCCCAGGTACAAATTTCAAAAAATTTACTTGGACTGAAACTCTCATCGTTTCCCTTCTCAGCTGACCAATAAGCCTTGAGCTTCAACAGGTAGTGCTGTAAGTGCGTTTATGCATTAGGCTAACGCGCTGTAACTTGGGTTGATTTTTCATTTACGAATAAATCATGCAAGCTGTCCTAATAAGGTCCCACATAAGAGGCTCACTCAGCTGTTTCATATAAAGACGACACTTGATGAAAGTTTAATATTGCATAGAGGAAATCGAGAGACATTTGCACTTGTTTATTGTACATGTTTGGAGATCATTGCATCACCTCTGCTTCGCAGAGGTAATTTAGGGAAAGACTTACGTTTCGCTGGTTTGTCTCTAAATCGATTCTTACTGAGCGATCTGAACGTATAATAACTGAAGATGAACCTTCATTGTTATCTTCATAACAGACCGACTTCACAGGCAGACAGGTTAGCGGTTCGTTGCAGATTACGATATTTCCATACTCGTGCACTTATTCGCTGCTCGAACAAGATTGCGCAAACCCTGTTCCAATGCTGGTTTATCATTTAAGTGTCAAATACAACTATTTGTTTGCTATTGCTAAGTTTTTTGCCACACATTGTGACAACAGCGCAGCTTTCTCATGTACAAACACTTCCGTATCCAACGCTTTGATATCACTCAAAATTCATGCTGAAATGACTTTTTCTTCTTGGCGAGTCATTGTGTAAATTTAGTAAAGCTCCAGTACAAAGAAAAGTCATGAGATGGTGATAACATTATTGCACTGATTGAGAGTTTTTGAGAAACGGCAAGGGGTAACTTTGGTTTTGCTTCCCTCCTATACTTCATATAATCATAATGGCTCCGATAACATCACTACAGCGTCAGTCCTATGATTCTTTGGTGTACCATTCTCTAACCTCCAGTAAAGGACTGCTATGCAGATTTTGACAAGGAAATGCTCACAGTAAGTGGCTAATGCGAAGGACTTGCATACTTTTGATTCAGCATGAAACGCTAAATTCAATCCTGGTTTCCCCATTTGCTAAACGCATTTATGAATGCAATTATAAGCAGTTATATTGACAGAAAATCGTAGGTACAAGTGCAAAATCAAAATTCTTGTACTTATAGCTCGGAATACGGGCTACCTAAAGTAAGAACCTAGTGTTGAGCCAAAAATCTATATGTCCACATCTGCTTTTTTGCATGAAATCTACAGATAATGGCCAATTTTACTGCCTTTTTCAATCATTTCTTCCATTCATACTTCTTCTTTGAAATAAATGTAGTGCACCATAGATGTTTGAAAGGAGCTTTCATCCTCATCTGTTATAAAGTCAATGAGCTACAAATAGCCGCATCCAAATTCAGAATTTTATTGCATTCACTTTTCCGGCCGGAATTTAAGCCAATTTTTCAAAAATTTAGGTATTGTATAAACTAGAAATTGCTTACATTATGCATAAATGACTATATTCTTTGAAGTTATCCAGACTGAGCTTTTAGCGCTCAAACATGAGTAGCTGTTGCGGTCATTTTATGACCCATAACTTTCTTCTGAGGAAGTCAGTCGCCGAAGCTTTGCTCGATTCTGTAAGCGTAGGGCTAGGACATCCTATTAGCAGTTTTTGCAAAAACATCCAGCTGTTCAGCACGTAGAAAATCAGAACACTCTATATTCGGAACTGAGGCACACTAAAAAGTGTTGAAAAAACTAGGTAATTTTGAATTTTAATTTTTTTCTTTTTAGCAAACTTTTTTGTCCGAATTCTTTTTATTGTATTTTGTACTATTGGCTTGCGGCTACAAGATAGGCCACTTATCATTCGTATTAACAAACTTTGAAGAAGGTTATGAATTGTTAAAAATAAAATTCTAGCAGAGAAGCTTTTTTTGTTTTCAACCCATATTTTTCTGCCCGTTTCTGAAATAAGTATAAGTATATGTGCGCTGTATTGCAGAAAGTTTGCTGGTTCTGATGACCGTTGCCATCGGGAATATTATTGTACGTCAAAGTGAGAAATTGCGAAACGGCCATTATTTTTGCATCAACTCAATGACTTGGTCCACAAAGGCAGAGTCTAGCAGATATGGAAAAGTAGCCTAGAGTCAGCGTTCTGTGCTGCATATTGGCAGTAGATTTGGCCGCTTCGACTTTTAGACATTCTTTTCTAAACCTTGTGTAAATTTTACACAATGCTTTTAGGCAAAATCTATAGTATTCCTATTTATACCTAGTCTTTCTTAAGGTTGGGACATCAGCGTTGGTCCGGCCCTTTAGCCTGGCATCTAATGCGAGGGATAGACCGGAAGTCTGCGAAACGCTATCATGCCACGACCACTCTACTGAGTTTCGCCCATCCAGGAGCGGCTCCTTTACACGTTCTGACGTTGCAAGCATAACAAGACGCATACTGTACAGTATCCCCTACCACCGACAAACGACGGCATTTTGTGTTGATTACGACGGGGCTAGCATGGAGTCGTCGTCCCTCTCAAAATTAGGATTTCAAAGAAGCGGTTGGGGGTCTTATGCACCTCATATTGAAAATTATACCTCGTATAACCATGGGGGATCTAAGAAAGGCTAAAATATTTGAGTGGGCATCAGTTTTCGTTTGGGAGGGGGACAGAAATTTTTTCTGGTAAAGTGCGTGGCGTTAGCCACGCCTTTCAAAAGTTTTTAGTATGCTTTCAAAAATGTTTGCGGGGTCCTAACCCCAAAATTTCAGAAAGGAAAAAATTTGTTCTAGTAAGCCTAAATTGAATTTGTTCAAAAAATTCAAAGGATTATTTTAATCATTTACAAGTATAAACAGGTCATTTGCACATTTTTATAACTCATGTGAATAACTTTTAAAAATTCCCCTCCCCCTTCCCGGCACGCCACTGGAGGGCTGCCTTTGAGCTTCTGTAAACTCTTCTTGTGGGACAAAGGAACAGATTAAGGAAATTCCTAAAATGTTACGAAACACTGACGAATTACTATTTTGACATAACCCGTAAAGCGTGAAGATGATTAGCATTCACTTAGAAGTTAAGATGATTGAGCTCACTTAGGTTTTGTTCAAAGTTTAAGGATATGCAAACTTTTTGGTCCAGAATGAGTGGCAGGGTACCTAAAGTGCCGTCCAAATAAGATGACTACGAAAATTTACAAATTCCCTTCATTGTATAGTTTTCAAAAGGCTAGCAGTAAGGATGTGTCATGTCACAGCACCACTAACTACTAAAAAGGTCGCAACTATTCACGATTGTCCCATCAGGTTACTCAAAAAAATAAAATTGAGTGCAGTATGAAGTGTGTCGCAACCCACTCTTCACTTCCGTTAGTTTCCATATGAATCCGAAAAAACATTTTTTATGATCAATTTACAATGTAACCAACAATGCCAATTTAGCCTGCTCTTCATCATAAACTAGGTCAAAACTTTGAAGTTGAAGGTTTTCAAACAATTGACTGACTGTATGTCAAGTAGAAGCTTACCAGATTGTGACTATTACCCGTCTAAAAAACGGGGTCGGTGTTGCCGTGCCGTAGCTGCTGTCCTGGCGGCGCGCGGCCGGCCTGTGGGTAGCTCCCTTGGATGTCGGGAGTGTGTGCGAGTGTGTTAGCGTGCGAGTGTGAGTAAGCAAGAGTCCTCATCGGTAGCCCGGGGTAGAGCTTAACTCTCCCCGTGGTAAGTATATTCACTTTTATTCGTGTCTGTAGTTATCGTGTATATTAGTTTAGTAAATTTACATATTTCTATTGTTCTATGTGTAGTGTAGGCGTGACGCGCCACTGCGCGTTAGCGCGCGCCCGCAGTGGCGAAAGTCCTTCGGGGACAGGAGCTGAGGCGTATGGCAGTCGAGCACGAGGTGAGGGGGCGCAGAGCCCACCGAGCCGCAACAGTTAGTGCTGCTGTAACCACTTTGAAAAAAAAGACTCGATTTAACGACACATCCTTATTGCTAACCTTTTCAAAACTATACGAAGAAATCGGATTTGTAAATTTTCCTAGTCATCCTATTTAGACAGCACTTTACGATACCCTGCCACTCACCCTGAGCCAAGAAGTTTGATCAACCTCAAACTCTGACTAAAACGTTAAATGAGCTTGATCATTTTACATCCGAGTAATGCTTGATCATCTTCACGTCTTACGTGTTTTGTAAAAGTCGTAATTCTTCAATGTTTCGTAACATTTTAGGAATTTTCTTATTTCAAGAAAAGCAAAACTTGATCTATTTCTGGTTTTAGCGTCTATGCGATTTGAAAGGGTAAGGAACACAAATTGCAATCGTTCAGCTCCATACCTTAGAACATCACAATATTTATCCGTTGTTCTTTTGTCCCACAAGAAGTGTTTACAGAATCTTAAAAAAATGTCCTTTAGTGGCACACCGAGAGGGAAGCCCCCCCCCCTCCCCGAAATTGGGTTGCGAGATTTCTGAAAGTTATTTACTGATTTCTAAAAATGTGCAAATGACTTGCTTGTACTTGCAAATGAGTAAAATAATTTTTTGAATTTTTTTTGAAACTTTTTGGAATTTCGGGGTTAGGACCCTGCAAACATGTCCGAAAGGAAGCATACTGAAGTTTTCTTGGAATGCGTGGTTAACGCTACGCACCTTTACCAGAAAAATACTCCCGAACGACCCTCCCGAACGAAAATCGCGGCTACGCCACTGTTGCCCTCTTAAATATTTCAACCATTCTTAGGTCCTCCCATGGCTCTAATATTCAATCTGAGGTACATAAGACCCCAATCGCTTTTTCGAAATACTATTTTGAGAAGTGACGACGATAGT